ATGTGGATAATTAGCAGTCTGCAGCAGATGGACTGACAGCAAAATGAAACGGTGCCTGGACATTTGACTGGCTGTTCCTGGTTCAAATGGATCTAATCAGTCTCGTACAGCTTCATTGTCACAGGTTAATGCTATATGAAGTCATGTAAGATTCAGACTAAGATTAAGATTGACTTTATTGATCCCAGGGGAAATCTTAACCATATATATCTAGTCAAAGGTAACAGTATAGCAACCAATTGAGATGTAACTTTAACTTTTGAGATGTAATGTACATGCTTACTTGTGGTCATAAATGCAAATCCATTAAAAATGGATTTAAATATAGTTAAAAAGACCAATATGCAGCCAAACCATTCTACGAGATTGGTTTCATGTAGTAATAATTATATGGTGTATATGTATAAACATGAACAAATCTTGATTTGAAATACCATGAGATAAACAAGTTTCCAGAAAATCAGAGCTTCTTGTTAAGGACATACTGTTCCATTAAATACTAATAGTGATGTCAAAATAGCCAGCATCCCCCTGGTAAACATGCATAGACTCTCCCATCGAATCAGAGCCTTATTTTGGGGATGTGACAATGTGGGCCGCGGCTCCCTCCGGGCCAGCAGGGGTCGCCAGCTCATTCGCATTGATGTCTTCTACTCATGGGCGTAAATATGGGGGGATGGGGGTTAGGACCCCCCCCAGTAATCAAAATAAGCCAATACAACCCCCTGGACCACCATAAATGTGTGGAGACCTCAACCACCCCCCCCCCCCATGTCAACCCAAAGTTATGCCCCTGCTTCCACGTGCCCTTTGTTCCCAGGTGTTAGCAGTGCAGTGCCGTGTTCCGTTATGTTTCTCCTCCAGTAACCCGCGCTATGAAGCTTGCTGCGTCTTCGCGTTTCCCCCCTGCCAGAACGCCAGCTTTTTTTCTTTTTTTTTTCCACTTTGCTCAGACCCCTCCCCTTGTGCCTGGAAAGTCCCCATAAACCTCCAGCCCTCCATTGTCTCCCCATGTCATATATCAGGTTTTTCAGTACACTGAATTTTCCTCGTAGTAGTCCACGTGTTTGCGAGCGGTACAGCCTGTTTTTTTGCCAAAAGCGTTTGTGGCCCAGTCTGAACCAGGATCAGATGCTAAACTGTTGTCTCCATCCGCTGTTCACCCTGTGCCACAAGCAGGCCACATCTGAGGTTCCTGTGAGGTCTTCAGAGTCTGCTGTGAAATCTGGTGTTGGCAGATAGCAGTCTTCTGAAGGAACAATTCGCTGGCAATGGAACTGCACAAAGACGCCCTTCAAGTGTGTTTAGCTAGAGTAATATTCCTTTGCCAGTATACTGTATACATTTGTATCCCAGTTTCCTCATAAGATCATGTAGTTGTAGACGTCCCTGTCATTATTTAATAAACGTAACGCATTTGGTTCTTTTTGAAGTTTAACACCTGCCCTAGAAAAGAATGCTGAGAAAACTGATTCCCCAAATGCGTTTTAATGAAAACGTGATTTTATATCATTGTTGTCGTTATACTCCTGGGTTAGCAGCAGAAATGAAGGTGATGGAAGGAAAATTCGGCTGGGATGCACACATCTGCCCGTGGGTTGCGCGTGCGCCGCGCAGATTTATGAATGGCATCTGGAGCAGCTTCATAAAGAAGCGGAGTTGGAGCTGTTTAATGCAGGTTACCTGACCTCCCACATGTTCATGCATTAGCTATTGACTGACCCTAAATCAGAAAGGGCTGTTTGCCCCATAAAACATTTTCCTGAATTATAAGTCAGGTAACAACAAACTCTACTTATAACGGTATGCAAATGTATATCAGTTTTTTTAAATGCTCATCACATTGTCAACAAGCAAACATTATGTCTAGGTGTGTAACACCAATACACAGGCATGATGCAAGTAATGCATTGCTAATTAATTAGCGGGCAGCGTGTGGCTCAGTGGGCTGAGCCTCTGTGGTTGTAATCCAAAGGTTACTGGTTCAAGCCCAGTCTCAGCATATCAGAATAAGCTTTATTGCCAGGTATGTTGACACATACGAGGAATTTGTTGTAGTGACAGAACTCTACAGTGCAACAGAAAGACAGAAAGACAGTGACAAGACAAGACACAGGTAATAAAAAAATAAAAAGAGTTATATACAGATATACAAAGTAGCGTGCAAAATAGCAATTGCATTTGAGGGTCCTTGAGCAAGACCCTTAACCCCCAGCTCCCTGGGTGCTGCGATGGGTGGTTGCCCTTTGTGGACAAAAAAAGAGCAAGTTGAAGGAGGTGTAAAGATTTCCCCATGGGGATCAATAAAGTATTAATTAGGGCTTCTTCTTCCCAATTCAGTATCCTTGATCCAGTTGTACTTCATGATTCATATGGCAAGGAAAGCATCTTGCTGACTTTGGTGCCACTCGTAGGTGGAAGTTTAGCACTGTTTCCTGCCTGAGGCTGAGGCAATATCCATAACGTAGGACAGGGTATTCTGATCGAACTCTCTGCTTGTTTGCCACGATCTCTCTGACCCCTGACTCAAAAGAAGACTGGGATCCATTGGTTTTAATGTTTTCTGTGTCTTTTCTCTGGTTCCAAGAAGAGTGAGCTGTGCGTAAGTAGGATTGTTTGATTATGGGAGTGTTTATATGAAGTACTTCAGATTATTTTTACGGACGGCTCTTGATTGTTTTAATGAGGCTTTTGACTGTTTTTAAGGAGAGCTCTCAGCTATTTTTAGGTTTTGCTGCCACGGGATTTCTTTCTCACCATCTCACCTGTCAGATTTTAGGAACTTTGTCACCCTATCTGACAACTTTCCCATCTGGGATTCGTATGATGCAATATGAAGCTTACTGAGATTCTAAAAATAATGGGAGGTTCTTCCAACCAAAAAATGTTTTCTTTTTCTCAGTCTGCTGATTTCTCAGCCGCATTTAATCACGTCACGTTATCGCTTTGGGTGACATGGTGGCTTTTCATTGGGGAGCACTGCTGCCTTGCAAATAGGCTGATTGGCATCTTTGGTCATACAGTATGACGTGTGTATGAGTTCTGCAATGGACTGGCATCCCACCCAGGGAAAACCCCTTCCTTTTGTCATATGTTGCCTGGGATAGGCTACAAGCCCCCCCACCCCCAGTGACTCTGAGCAGGATAAGAGGTTTGAGGTTGAACCTTATCATTTAATTAAGTATTACTGAGTATGTCCTTAATGTATGTAGTTTTTAGTGGTATTTGATATTCCACTTTAAAGTTATTGTAGATTATTGTACTGACTGTAGTGAATTTTAAACAGAACCACGTGAGACAGAGATGGAAGATTGGAGTGGGTAGTTTATCAGGGTAATGGGTTTAACAGGACTTTGGAGTGCAGCAAAAATGAAGGCCAGCATTATTGGCTTCTGCATGAGGGAAACATGGAAGGAAAAATGGGTTATGGGTCCTGGGAAGGGAAGCAGTCTGGCATGAGTACACATTTTTAGACTTTTAAATTATTTATGCCAAAATTGATACTGGATCAATAAATAGCTGTAAAAAACAGACTGTGATATGTGATCGGTGGTGCCCAGGAGAAGAAACTGTTTTCCAATAATCTTATTTTAAGATATCTAGAGATAGAGTACAGATAGCGTGAGATGTCTCCAATACCCTGCAGAGACCTGTTTTGTAGATCCAGCATCTGCAAGAAATTATATTTAGTGGACAAGCCATTTTGAGCAGAAATCTTAATCTTGTTTTATTTAGAACCATATCAGAAATCATCACGATCCGCAACAAATCTCAAAATAAATTTCCTTCTCTATTGGAACCATCAGGTTATTTTCACGTTACTAGCAAGGATGTCTCCTTCGACACTGCCTGCCAAATACAGATATGGTGGTACGATGGAGTAAACAACCCGAAATAAATTCACTGTATATTCCGTATTATTTTCTTGTCATTTTATAGAAATAAAATTATTTCTAAACAAAATGAAATACATTATACACATTAAAACATGAAGTAATAGCTTTAATTACCCATAATGCCACATTTTAAAATTACTTTATCATACTATTGCACAAGCAACATTTTAATTCCAGAAAATTCTCTTGCTGTGACTCAGTGGGACATTTTGCATTTGGATGTCAGACTCAGGCAAAAGTAACAGCCCATCTCAGTCCTGCTTTCCAGGTGTTCCCGGTCAGGGGTTTGGAATCAACTCCTCAGTGTTAGAGCTGAGTCCCAGACCTTGAAGTTGGCAGTAAATAAAATTCCTTCATTGCTTATATATTATAAGAAAAGCCACACATGCAACTTGGATTGCATAGTCTCCCCTAGATTGAACAAATACATATAAAAAAGAATAAACCAGACTTCAGTATGTTTTTAATTCTTCCAAACACTGAAACTATATTTGCAGATGTAGCCTATAAAACAGAATTGCTTCATTTCTTAGATTTGCATTATAGGCCAAGCTGAATGTAAATCCGCTGTCTTAAACATCTTAAATGGTTTTCAGTCTTTCTTGAAAACTTACTGTCTATTGTCTATTGTCTATTTTTAAAATGTATGTTTTGGCCTTAATTTAGACTCTTTACACTTAAGAAGCTTACCATGTATTTTAAAAGTAGCTATTTATCCTAAATGTTTCAATTAAACTGCGGACACAAAGGTGAACTTTTACCTATTCTAGACGCTTTATTCTCAGAGGCAGAGCTTCTTGGTCTAACTTGGGCTTTTTCGTGATGTTTCTTCTCAGAGTATTATAGCATTTAATATAGTACTAGTGATGGACAAAACAATGCCACATGAACCGTTTGCTGTACTTTTTGAGCCCACTAGATGGTGCTCTTGTCTGGTGTTGGTGCTTGCTTTGAGCCCTTTTGAAGACAGCACCATCTAGTGGGGTCAGAAAACACAGCATGTGGTTCATGAAGCTTCATTTGGCCAACACTAATGTTTTGTGTGTGGTGCAGAAAACGGGCCCACCTGGGCAGAGAGTTAAATTCCATCCTTGCTTCCCTCAGGACTCCTGGCGCCCTCCCTCGGCCTGGGGATACGGCGGCCCTCTGTGCACGGCCCGGCCCCCCTGTTCTTCTCTATCCGTCATGCCCTCGGCTCAGCTCCGTCGGCCCCTGGAGAAGCTCCGTCCGGCCCAGTAGGATGCTGAAGCTGCCCCGACGACACCGCTTCCTCGCCTCACTCCGCCCACGCCGCCGGCTCTTGGCACTGCCCCCCCCATCCGCCACGCCCCCACCATGAGGGATGAGGCCTTCGACGACAGCGCGCTGGCCTGGCTGGTGTGCTCGGGGGTGTCCATCCTGGCCAATGGCTGGGCCATCCTGAGCATCAGCGCTAAGCAGAAGAAGTGGAAGCCCCTGGAGTTCCTACTCTGCATGCTGGCCGGCACCCACATCCTGAACATGGGCATCCCCGTCACCATGTACTCCGTCATCCAGCTGCGTCGCCACTACTCCACCTACGAGTGGAACGAGGGGCTCTGCAAGGTCTTCGTCTCCACCTTCTACACACTCACCCTGGTCACCTGCTTCTCCGTCACCTCCCTCTCCTACCACCGCATGTGGATGGTGCGCTGGCCTGTCAACTACAGGTGAGGATGAGAACATTCCAGGCAGTTACAGCTGTGGTCAATACATTAAGACTGATTAGGATGGAAAACAACTAAAAGTGAAAGGAAACCTTTGAGGAAAGCTGTTGAGTAATCTTCCTGAAAAATAACGCCTAAAAATATCTGTAAATATTCGTGTTAGATCACAGATAAATTATAAGGATGATATATCTGCTTGGTCATGACCTCTAATGACTTGGGTTTAATAATCTTTCTCAGGTCATCCCCTGTTTTCTGCATAATGAGTTTTGCTCTCCCCAGTGAAAATGTGTCAGACTCCTGCTAGTTCAGCTGAAGAGGGCGGAATATTAAAAACACTAAAATCATTCAACAGACAGCAGGGAATTCCTGGTTGACTGGATTCTGACTGTTTTTGTTATATTGTGCACTAAACTGTTTCTTGTATTTTACTGTGCAAAACATTCATATGAAAAAAAAGATGCCAGCATTTTAGACTAATTTTCAGGCCACCTATGCTCTATCATAAAAATCCATCCATCCATCCCTCCATCAATCTATCCATCCTTTCATTCTGAAACAGCTTATCCTGATCAGGGTCATGCGGGAGGCTGCTCAGTTTCCTTGAATTACACATCATGTAAAAGCTGATTTGCTTGACATTAAAATGTTTTGTTAAGCACATCTTTTATATTTGCATCTATTTTAATTTTACAGATGCTTTTGTCCAAAGTGACACACACTTCTGGCAAATAGCACATTACAAACATACGTGGTGTCAAGGAATCAATTAAGCATAAGTACGACTAGGCAGAGGTTCCAGTGAATGCCCTGGTACAAACGTACGCACAGTGGATCGCGAGCCGCACGGCATCCTCCAAACAAAGCAGGAACCTAGTAAGACTATTCAATGATCAGAAAGTGCAACACTAAGAACATTCAGGGAGCAGGGTAGTATCAGTATAGTATCAGTCTAGTGGAGGAATTCCTGGGACTGATGGGTCTTGAGGTGTTTCATGAAGGTGGAGAGGGAGTCTGATGACAGAGCAGATCCTAACTTTCTTTTCCATGGCCACAGACTCTAGCTTATCTTAGGGGATCCTTGAGTGTTTGCAAGCCAGATGTAATCTCACCAGCATATCCTGGGTGTAGGATGCGCTTGGATCCGCTCTCTGGGGGGCTGTTATAAGGTGCCCTGTCATAAGATGCCCAGACATCTCGATCTGAAGAAGCAGCGTCTCTGTTCCCAGCTTCTCCAGGTCTCTGAACTCTTCCCACAATCACAGAGAGTGAATCCAGCAGCCCTGTTCAGGAACCTCATTTAGGCCACTTATATGCGTAACCGGGCTCTTTCAGTCATCGCCCACAGGTAATGACCATAGGCAAGGACTGGAATGTAGAGCAGCTGAATAACTGTGAGCCTCATCTGACGACTCACGCTTCATCACCATGGATTAGATGATTTTTCAGTGTCCGAAAAACTGCACTCATCAAATCAAACGTCTAGTTTGTCATCCGCACGGTACCACACAGAATCAGATCTCTGTAAACGTAACTGAAGTTAATAAGCTAATTGCAGTTTTAATCCAGACTTCTAATATTTTTTAGACATGCTGTGTGACCACACCTAGTGTTCCTGTTATTCCATTGTTCTGTTATAATTTCAATTTAGCAAGAGGCACCGCAGTAAAATTTACAACCCCTTATTGATCTGTTTCTGTCACTCATACGTTCTGAATCTCAAAGGGATCGTGAAAGGAGTTTGGGTCTGAGTCGGGTGTTCAGTGTAACCGCCCAGTGTAATACAGACTGGATTCCACTGTAAATGCTAAGTTGATCTTTCATAGATTAGAAGTCTTCTTGGATGTGTCCGTCCATCTGGCTTAGTCATGACATTCATTATGCAAAAGCAATAAAACAGGTTAATAGAATACAAAGGTTATCTGGATTTACATTAAAAAATATGGGCTACAAATCACAGAATGTCATACTCTGCAGCACATTAATTACTTGAAAGTAGGGCTGCAATGATCTAAAATTTTGATATTCTGTTTCTTCAGATTCTATAGAATATTCTGATAGTTTAATGAAAATAATTCGGTCATATACTTGACACTATAAGAGCAAGAGCTTGTAATGACAACTCTTGGTTGAGCAAGAATAAGTAAATGATTTGTTTGAGTATATTTTTCTGTTGAATGGGGGTATATTTTATGTTTAATAGAATTTTCATGTTATTTAATATACATACTATATATTTCTTACAAAGTTCTGTGTAAAAGTCTTAGGCTGTTACAATGGGTTGTTTAATATAAATAGCTTTAAACAATTTTCTTTGCACAGTACTACACATTTTATATATCATTATGTATTTAAAATTAATGCAAATTAAATCGTTCACATATTTCACACTGCACATAACTGTCCCCACTTGTGTGAAAAAATTGCCAGACCAGTGACTCTTATGGCCAATCCTCTTAGCTTCCATCTGACATATTTCTCTCTGTTTTAATCGACATGCCAGATATTGTCACTATTTCCAGAAGATAATAGACTGATCTTCGAGTCTTGAGACTCTCCAGTTTGTGGACGTGTCCAGGCAGCCATTACAGACCATTACCGAAGACATATATTTTTATCCAAAACATTAATTTTCGAATGTATTGAAATGATCAAATATTTGTTGCAGCCCCAATTCACAGCTCGGCTCGGCTCACCTTATTAAGACTTTTTTAAGCATTTATTTAGATTTGAAAAATAAAACTCGAGGGTTACAGGAATTTTGATCACTACATTATATAATGGCAACACATAAGTAAGCATGTGAAAGCCTGTTCTATGTGGCGGTGGGGGGCAGGCAAGCGTTTAAATGTAATTAATGTAATTAACTGTGGTTTCTTCCCACAGTTTAAAAATTAGATCTTTGGTAAACTGGTGTCTCGGGCTCGATGCCCTGTTGGTCGTGTCACGTTGCTGCTATGATCATCATCAAAACGATCCGCCGTTTCTGCCAAAGTGGCCCTTCTGTTGGTTTGTGCCGCACAGAACAGCCTTCATTCCCATCCCGCATCAACCCTTCTGTTGGTTTGTGCCGCACAGAACAGCCTTCATTCCCATCCCGCATCAACGAGTCTTCAATTCAGTTCATTTC